AGTGAATTCATATTTTAAAATATATTATATTTTATTTCTATTTTTTATTTTATTTTATTTTATTTTATTTTATTTTATTTTATTATTATTATTATTATTATTATTATTATTATTATTATTATTAAATCACCCAAATGTAGGAGAGCTGCATACAGTCCTCTGAAAATATCTTTCTCCTACCATGTAGGCATTTTCTTCTATTTATTATTAAAAGATTAACCTCGAGGAATTATGTTTGAGAGAATCTGTTCATTAGATTTCATCAGAGCACAGCAGTTTTTTAAAAAAAATTTTTATTGCCATGACACCTTAAATTAAGATTAATAAAAAAAAAAAAATTAATATAACTGCTTTTCATTTGCCCAGTGGCAATAAAACTGACAAATTGAAAACTTTTTTTGCAGACTTTATATGAGCACTGAACCCTGGCTGCTTCAGCCAAGGACACGAGTGACTGATATTACAAATTCACTTCCAAAATGTATTCAGAGTAATGTATTCAGACAGTGCATGAGAGGAGACTGCATGGCACTATTTACCTACTCTGTCTAATTATATTGTGGTCTTTTGGCTGCTATTCTCTTGCTTCTGTTGTGTCCCTGTCATACAGCTAGTATAAGAAAAGGTGCCTCTGACGTAAAGACTTAAAGAATAAATCCAAATGATGCAGATTCTGTCATTTAAAGTCACATTTCTGCTGATGCAAGTGCACAGAGGACATTGGAAGTGGATTTGTTTGATGGACTTAGTAAGGAGTGACTCTATCAGGCACATCTTCCGCTTCCAGAATTTAGGAATACAGCAGTTTTCTCAACTGAGTACGTGTCTTGGGGATTTAATGTTGCTCAGCAAATTAACATAACTGGTTTGCGGTGGTGGTGTTTTGTTTTCTTTTAAGCTTTCTAACTTCTGCACTAACGCTCTGAACCCTTTGTCATGTGACCCACTAACCTGCATTCATTAGCTACCTCTCACCAGTGAATTCATCATTGTGGCATGTCCTTAGAGGCAGCAGTTCAACACACAAACTGTGTAGTTGTGATGGGCTGTATGTAATTGATCTGAGTCAGCAGTATTGGTGTGGCTGGCCTGGTGCTTGTCAAGGTTAATGATGTTGGGAGAGATTACTTTTAACAGGTGTCACCGCAGGGACCTAGCAACAGGGAGTGGGGAGGAATGGGATGAGTCTGAGAGCGCAGCCATATAGCTCGAGGTTTTGCTGAATCATGAAGGGCCATAAGGTGTGGATGACATTGCAAAGTGGAGGCTTAAAATAACCCTGGCTGTTCTTTTCCATTTTTAAAACACTAATTTACATAGAAAAACCTCATATCAACTACTTAGGTCTGTTCTTCTGACTTCTTGAGAGAGACTAAAGTGAAAATTAAGTGATTCTTCCTAATATACATCAGCCTTTTTTTTTTTTTTTTCTTTACCCTTGTGGTCAATATATATTCCTCATTTTTAGTTTGAGTTAATAGGAACATTTTTAGGCAAATATAGATGTGCTGTTACGTACTCTGTGATGGTGACTCATCTTAAGCGGGGGAGTGATGCACTTTTCTTGACAATCATTCGGTCAGCCAGTAATTACAGTACTTCGTCAAACATTATAAATAAATGGGTCAAAACCTTTTGAATCAACAAGTAAAACTACAGTATGATCTGCAAAACATTTTATGGAGACCACTCATCATGCCAGGCTCACCTCACCTTTATGTTTATTGATAATGTACCGCCTGTCCTCTATCACTGTCTATCGCAGCTTTCCGTTAAAGGTTACAGTGACAAACAGCACATCTTGCTGAAGAAGATCATTGAGAAGATGGCCACCTTTGAGATAGACGAGAAGCGCTTTGACATCATCAAAGAAGCGGTAAGCTCTGACTGCAACTCGGTACAACGTTACGATGAGCCGCGATCATTCGAACAAATAACCTTCAGCAATTTATGGAACAGCTAACTTTTATTATACCTGACGTCACAACTCAATAGCAGTAAAGTAACGGTTTTTGTTTTCAAGGTCAGAAATACTTCAACTAACAGTCCAAATGTTGATGTTGAACTGACTGCCTTCTCTTTCTCCCTGCAGTACATGAGGTCTTTGAATAACTTCAGAGCCGAGCAGCCTCACCAGCACGCCATGTACTACCTCCGTCTACTAATGACCGAGGTTGCTTGGACCAAAGATGAGCTCAGAGAGGCTCTGGATGGTGAGAGGCTGCTCTTAATCTCTCTCTTTCTCTCTTTACTTCTGTCCCAGAGTCCCAGCCCTTGTGCTTATTAGCCCCTTTTGTACTGTGGGCCGAACACAGTTCACAGAAACACAGAATAAATGCATAGCCGAGCCCTTCTTCAGGCTAGTACTGAGCAAGTGAAGCTTCGGCTGTGTAGCTAAGTTGTATGAGACTGAATAACTTGGTAGTTGTAGCAAATGTAAGAAATTGCACCCTTTATCTGTTCATAGGCTTGAGTTCCTGGCTTAGAGTTTCACGGTGTTTGGCTCACAGTCAACAGAGGGCTACTCTTTCTCTCCGCTCACTTTAGGTCTTTTCTTCTCTTCCGTTTTCCTCCTTAAATCCTCATTAGAATGCTAAAGCTGTTCTCCAGCAGATGCCTCCCTAGCTGCAGTCTTTCCTCTCCGCAGTGGCAGTCTGGAACCTGAAGGGCAGATTGTTATATTTTTACCACGGAGCTTACACAGACTATCCTCGGATTCACACGAGACTCAATTAACCTGCAGGGTCAAAGCCTGTAGCCCAGTCACCAGGGCCTCCAATTACCACGGCTTGTTCCCTTATCAGTGTCCTTACCCTCCTGCCGTCCCCTGTCTGGGGTCTGCGACACACTTTCTGTCTCGTGTGTGTGTGTGTGTCGCTGTGGACAAACAATAATTTAGATGAATTGTGTGTGTGTGTGTCCCTGTAGTAGCTCATCCTTGAATCTGGGTCAGACGTTGCCTGAATTCAGATCGGCCTGCCCGCATTAGGACAGACTTCATTTTGTGCATGTGTAACTGAATGTGTGAAAGTGTGTGTTTTACCAGGCCTGCATGATTGTCTAATGTGTGACCACTATTATGTTGTTCGTGCCAGGAATACTGTACGATGAAAGAGCAGTTTCTGTTTTTTTTTTTTTTTACTGATTCAGTCTTTATGGCAGCAGAAATTGCTCTTTGATTGATTGCTGTTGTCTGTGATCTGTATTCCAGATGTAACACTCCCACGCCTCAAGGCCTTCATACCTCAGCTATTGTCACGGTTACATATTGAAACCCTTCTCCATGGCAACATCACCAAGGAGGTTTGTCACTGTGTTATTACTGCAAGCTGAGGGAATTTGAAATTTGTTAGCTCTCTGCCTTGATGGATTTGGAAATAATGCAGGCTCTAAGTTTTGTAAAATAATGTGTATTTCTCAGTGAATATTGAACACACCTTTTATTCTCAAACAACATGGGAGTCACCTCCAGCCTTTTATCTGACCCTGCAACAATATCACAGAGGATTGTTGTCAAATAACCTCTTATAAGATCCTGCGATCGGGTCGCACTTTTATGTGAGGTCTCAGCTGTCACAGCCCTCGCGTTACACCTTGTAATGATGACAGCGTCACAGTCTGGGGGAGAGAGAATTAGACTCACCAGTGGGAGCAATGATCCGTATCGTCATCATCGAGCCACAGTGGAGGCCTGCTGCTGTAAGGCCAGAGCTAGAACTGACCAAGTAGTTTGGCGGAGAAGCCTTGATGGATAAGGAATCATGTTTTAATGAGAAATTTGTACTTATTAATGTTATCAAAGCAATTAGAGGGCAGGAACCCATCGCCTTAAAACATGAACCTCTCCCCATACATTTGAATAAGAGAACTTTATTTCACAACCTCTACTTTTCTAGAAAGTACGTTGAGTTTGAGTTTGATCACATCAGTGTTCCAGTCTCACCCGGAAGCCTCCAAATCCCTTGTTGGTTAAAGTTAGTTAAAGTTAAAGTTAGATAAAGTTAGCTGCTTTAACACTTTGCAGAGGTATTCTGTATGCCTATAGCTGTTACACTGATAAGTCTACAAACGGCTTTGTTGGCCTAATAGTCAATATGTTGTTTTTTAACCCTTCAGTAAATTTAAAGGCTCATTAATCTAATTGACAAAAAACAAAACAAAATAGGTTGTGTGATCTATCTACTACTGAGACTGCTCTGCTCAGGGTAACCCTAAAAAAAACAACAACAACAAACAAACACAAAACAAATACTGGAAGTGACAGGGTTATGGATTATCCAGAGTAAGCAGTACATTGTTACAATAAGATTATTATTATTATTATCTCTGTATAAGTCTAGCATCTCACAACTTTTGCAAATAATGCTAAAACTTACTATATGACAAGTTAACAAAGAGAGAAAATGTTTAATGGAAAAGCTAACTGGATATTATTCTGAAAATAATGTGGAGAAGGTGGAGAGAGCGACGCATTACCAATGTCTACCATCAGTTCTAGTGATCCAAAATGAGGGTGGAAAAGGTCCATTGTCACGATAACTTAATTCTGCTCACGTAGAACCCACAGCTTAATGCAGCCTGCTGGGGAACGTCAGAAGCAATTCTGGGGAACGTACGTAGAAAATCACTAACTGAAATTGGAGCCAGGTTAAGGGAAAGTGTGCGTAACAGAAAGGTAAATTGCGAATCCTTAAAAGAGGGGGCTAAACATCAGAGCTAAACGGTGCATAATGCTTTCTGAGAGTAGAATTCTCCTTTAAAAGTGCTGTTTTTGTGGACTAAAATCTATTGTTTTCCCTCCCTGTCTGGCATCTAGTCTGCTCTTGGCATGATGCAAATGGTGGAGGACACACTCATTGAGCACGCTCACACAAAGCCCCTCCTCCCGAGCCAACTGATTCGCTACAGAGAGGTGCAGGTTCCAGACGGTAGGTCTCATACGCCCACACACACCGGTTATGCACTCTTAATCATCATCTGCCAGTCATGCCTGTCTCCACGACGACCATGCGAAAGAGTCTTTGCCCAGCGCTCTCTCCCTCGTCATCAGTGACGCCGTGTTTGCGTTTGTAAAGACATCATTAAATTTCAGTATCCCTCATTTGCCTCGGAGGAACACAATGGTCACTGAGTGGAAATGGACGTCATTGGGCAGAAATACGTACACGCCGTCCCCCTCTCAGCGCAAAGATGAATGCACAAACGCCAAGCAAGGCACCTGTGCTGCCTTTCTGATTACATTAGGAAAGTCAAGCGATGTGGAGAGGAAAACCAGAGCTGTGCAGGCCCACCTGGAGACATCCTGTGTCTCACCAAGGGATTTTCCAGGCTCTGCTCCAGACTGCCAGTCAGACACAGAGCAGGAGCACTGGAGAAGGACGTAAAGGATGTAAACACACAGTTGGCTTATGAAATGAATGACTGGCTGACAGTCTGTCCAAGAAACATGGTATTACTCTTGTAGCTGAAAGCTTTAGAGCAGATAGTTCACATAAATCTGTCCAGTTACACATTAATCTTTGTTTAAGGGACCACGTGATCAAAATGCAGTCAGAAACATGGCCTAAGTGTCTCCCATGGTTTTGCTATTAGATTGATTGACAGGCTTGTTAATACAAAGACTAGAAAACAACTCAGTCTACAACTAAATTATTGATGTTTTCTGTTGCTTTAGCAGAGGAATGCTAATGAAATACTGGCCAAAAATGATGAATCTGTCATTTAAAGTGGTAAGTTGTGCAGTTTTTAGGATGCAGTGTTTATAGTGTCACCGTTGTTTTGAGTTGACTGACAGCTAGCTTTTGCAAACACTGACAGCGTGATGTATAACATGCTGTGGAAACAAAATGCACAATGACACACAGCCCTGAAATGTCCACATTTCACGTTACTGCTTTCATTAATCAAAGAGTTTATCCGCCCAAAGCTTTTATGTTTTCTAAGTAAACTTGAGTAAAACTTTTGACATGTTGAGAAGAACGTGAGGGGAGATGTTGAGGACTGTGGACGCACTCCCCAAGCGCGGAGCCAAAGTGCTCCGTCAGCATGTGCATAAAGGTACCTGCAATACCCAGCCTCAACTCGTCCTCCATTCAAAGTGAGCTTGATCACAATGTCCTCAAACAAACTGAAGCTGAGCGTAAAAGGAAGCTGTATGCGACAGTGGATGGCTTCTCTCCATGTTCTGCTCAAAAGAAAATTTAAAGCGCAGATGAAAGGCAAGAGGAGACCAAATTGGAACCACTCAGCAAAAAAAGGATGATGTTGGCATTCAGTTGAATGTCTCCACTGTCCTCTGTGTCCTCTGTCTGAACTGTACAGTTTTACTGTATTACACTGATCTACACTTCAAGCATCAGGTTTTTTGCAGCCGTTACTTTAGGCAGCTTTGATTTTATGTTTTTGAAAGCACTGATTATGCATACATATACAAATATTATTTGGAGTAGAGGTGTACAGATAGGCTGGAGTCCATGGATCGATGTGGATTTTGGGTTAATGAAAGGATTCTACTTCAGCTCGGTCACTGCTTTACATGTTGAGTGTAGTTCTCAGCATATCTCAGCACAGCACAGTCATGTTTGACACAATTAGTTGAACATTTACAGGCTTTATCGTCTCAATTAAATCTGCACACACATAACAGAAAGAAATTTTAATACTTATTTAATCTTACTCTTCCATTACCTGTTCCATAATCTGTTTTATGTTAAAAAAAAAAAAACTACTCCGGAGCCAGTACGACGAGATGGGAGGGAGAGAGAAACACACACACACACACACACACACGCTCCTTCAGTGGTTACTGCCTCGCTTCGATTTCTTTTTCAGGCCCCGCTCAGGAGCACTGCCTTTCTTTCCAGTAATGCATTTCCAAGTGAGTGTGTTTACTTTGTGATGATTACAGTTCTGAAAGAAACTAAACAAATATTCTTCTGTTCCTCTCAGGTGGCTGGTATGTTTACCAGCAGAGGAACGAGGTGCACAACAATTGTGGCATTGAGATCTACTATCAGACAGACATGCAGACCACCCACGACAACATGCTGCTGGAGCTCTTCTGTCAGATCATCTCTGAGCCCTGCTTCAACACACTGAGAACCAAAGAACAGCTGGGTGAGCCCACGAAACACAAACAAATGATGTAGAACATATCTTGTGGAGCATTTTCCAACACTCTTTTCAATATACTGTAAAGCCAAGACAGACGTGTGGCAGCTGCTCTGTTTTGTCCTTTTAATCTGCATGTAGTAATTGGAAACTGCTCCTATAAAGACCAGAAACTGTAAGTGAAGTTTCTAAAGTGCTGTCAACCATGATGATGTTTAATAACTTGTGGAATAAATGGAGTGAGTCTCTGAGCCACATTTCCTTGGACGTAGTGCAGTAATAATAGTTCCAGACGGAGACAGTAATCAGAATAAAATGGTTTGAAACCACTCAAAAGGCATATGTATAATTGTGATGTTAATCTTTTAAAGCAAACCCTCCTTTTAGACGTTTTTCTGCACATGCTCAGGTACCCTGTCTGTCCTTTCGTGCTGAGGTCTTACCTATCTCACCCTCTCCACCCCCCAGGCTACATCGTGTTCAGTGGGCCCCGGCGGGCTAACGGAGTGCAAGGCTTGCGCTTCATCATCCAATCGGAGAAGGCCCCCCACTACCTGGAGAGCCGGGTGGAAGCTTTCCTCTGCACCATGGAGAAGGCCGTGGAGGAGATGAGCGAGGAAGCCTTCCAGAAACACATCCAGGCCCTGGCCATCCGCCGCCTGGACAAGCCGAAGAAGCTGTCTGCTGAGTGTGCCAAGTACTGGGGAGAGATCATCTCTCAGCAGTATAATTTTGACAGAGGTGAGGCCTCCCAGCAGTCCTCTTCACCTCACTGCTAACTCTTAATTATGTCTAAGCACTCAGGCCAAATGCACCTTTTTAAGAATATTGAAATATATTTAAAAACTCTTTCTGATCTACCAGCTATTATAAACCGCTTGTGTTGCACGGGAAGTCAAGTATGAGTTCTTGAGGGTTATCAATATTTTGGTCAGTCCCAGAGGTGAGCAGGATGTTGCTTAGTGCTGCACAAATTGGGATCGATTAAAGCCTGAAATAATCTGCAGCCGTAGCACACCTCTCTGTTGCAGCACTCTCCTGAGTGCCATAATGGATTGTAATGGGCTTGATTCACTGGTAATCTGCCTAAAGCCCTGAGTGATGGCAACACTGAAAGGCTGCCAAGGGAGTGGTGGTGATTACTGATACTAGCAGTGTTAGAGGAGATGGGGGTGGGGGGTGGCGAGGGCAGCTAACGCGCTCAACGCCAAGGGCACAGAAAAACATACAACACACACGCCATTAGTCAGCGCTTACAATCTGCTCAGTGGGCTAACTGCGAGACAGAGCTGCTGTTGGTTAATTGTTTGCCTTTTCTCGATTCAGTAATCGTTTTTTACATTCTGTGCAGAATGATGCTTATTCAGTTGGTTAGATTCAGTTTTTATGCATGGCAGTGGGGAGAAGTATTCCTAGTGGTGACAAACAAGAAGAAAAAATGACACTTGATAGCTCATATATCAGAGCCCTCCACCCGCACTTTGACACAATGACACTTTTTTTTAAACACCCAGTGCTTTCACTTGCATTATTATGCAGCAGTCATAACTTTGACCAACTTTCACTATGATGGATCACTACTGTTAAGGAACTTTAAAGTTTTTTGACATGAACTGAAACTGCTGGCTGTGTGCAGAGGTAAGCGATAGAAAGCGTTGTAGGTTGGACCAGTGGTTCTTTTTTCACTCCACAGACGGCCACAGAACCGTTTTGGTAGAAATAATGCCTATATAATGTACGATACAACGCTGCACTGCAGTGTCTGATGTATTAACGCCGCAGCTCGTTGTGTGAATCCCATTAAAGGTCCAGTGTGTAGGATTTACAGATTGCAACTTCCCTGCTTCACCCTCGAAGAATGCACACGACTTATAGATAGAGCCTTATAAATGTTACACACTGGACCTTTGAAACATTCTTGCTGATACTGACGGTATTTTATATACTCACAGCTGTATTGCTGCTACGTTTCAACCAGGAATCCATTATCTCTATTTATGTCTGACAGTTCAGATTGCATTGGAAATGGAAATATTGACTATAAAATGTGGTTTATTGAGCTTATCAACATTGAACTCAATCATTATAGTATAATTATTTTCGGTTTTATGAATGATTGATAATTTAAAATTAACATTTTAAAACAATCACACCCGCTGCAGTGCTCCAGTGTACCCCCATTTGAGAAAAGTTAGATGATGGTCTGCAGTAGTTTAAATGCTCTTCTCAGGTCAGTGATATTCATGTTAACACCTTTCCCTGTTGTGTTGCAGATAACATTGAAGTGGCCTATCTGAAGACGCTGACAAAAGAAAACGTAATGCAGTTCTACAGAGTAAGTCGTGCAGCTTTGTCACACGAGGTTTCTTCTCTTGATTACATTTGACAGACAGTCAGCAGTGTCACTCAGCCGCAGGCCTGAGCTCAAACTGACACTCGGGTTTCAAACCATTTAACCTTTTAAGGCACCTGTTGGTAATTTTACATTAAAACAGTCATTATGATTATTTATATTACATTTCATTTTTACTTAAAGTCCGTTCACAGGAAGAGGGGAGTTTAATGGTTTTCTTTTTAAATAAAGAGGTCAGATTTTCTAAACCTCACATGTTGTAACGATCAACAAAGAGCTCATCATTTAATATGGAAATTACAACATGGTATTTCTAAAATGGCTCCCTGGGTGCATTTTCTCCCCCAGCTGTTTTATTTGAACAGCCTTAAATTACGATGCTCATTTGACTTTAATTGTGGTACTGTGGCTAGAGCTGCATTGACAGCAGAGGTGTCATTACGAGGCGGCAACATAAATTACAACAATTACCCAATATTTTATGACATGCAAGAGTCATGAAACATTTCAGAGGTCTACAAATCATTGTTAAATACTCGTTTGAACTGTCTACTTATGAATGTTATATTCCCAATTCTCAAATGAAACATAAGAAATAGCATTTTATTGTTAACACCTGATGGCTTTGGGAAAAAGACACTGATTAAAACTGAACATACAGATCATCTTATGAGCCGACAAGAATTGATTTATTGAGTGTCGGTCACACAGACCAACTAGACATTGTTCTTTCTGTGTGATTACTTATTGAATATATTGATTTCCTACCAAAGCTCTGAACGTTTTATCATTTGAGGTTCAGAGTTCATTGTTGAATTTAAACGACTCGTGAGAACACCATCCAGACATAAGGTCCATTTCAGTAACTGTTCCAGCTGCTGAACGACTGTTTACGGACCCAAGTCGGCTTAAAAAGCTGAGGTTTGAAGAGCTCCAGTTCCATTACAACTCAACAAAGTTACATAAGCGCCTTGAGGCCTACTGAGGCCGCTCCATGCATGGGCAACAATTGGATGGATGGAATTTAAAAATAATCTCTACATTACTGTTCAGGCAACGATTCCAGTATAATTTAATCTTCAGATAATTGGAGAGTTTAATTAAGAATTCCAGTTAATTAAAAAATAATGGCAACAAAAAAGTCCTTAATTTGTAATTAAATGTCAAAAGACTGCATGATAATCACATTTTTGATTGTGAGCACACCACCTAGTGTGTGTGTCTGTGTGTGTGTGTCTGTGTGGTGCTGTGTGTGGTGCTTGTGTGTGTGGTGTGTGTGTGTGTGTCAGTCTGCCCTCTCATCTCCTCCTGCTTCTATTCATAGCTGTGGAGGTGACACTGACACAGGACGCTCACAGCATATCAGCTGCCGTAATGACAGCCAGCCAGCCTGTTTCAACGGGGATAAAGGGCCAAAGACACATAGCCGCTGAAAGAATTGGCATTATCTCAGCCCAGCAGAAACCATTACAGGCCCCATGCAGAATAAACCTAATGCATTTCTAATGTCATATCAGCTGCAATCGCAGGAGCATTTTCTTTTTCTTTCTTCATTTTTTTTCTTTTTCTTTTCATTTGTCGGTCACCCGAGTCGTCTGACTGCAGACGAGCCAAATCTTCAGTCTAATATAATCCTCCTCCCAGAGACGGTGATGAGGCCCGACTGTGTAGCTAAATCTCCACAGGGCTGTCACAACTCATCCCAGACTCACTGTGACAAACACACGGCCGTCCAGGTCACACTGAGTCTCTTCGTCTGTGGCAGCAACACTCTTCCCCAAAGACTTCCTAACACAGCGATGAGTCTCTCCAGTTACTATTTTAGGGTTACGTATGTGTGTCCCCCCCCCAATGTGGGCATTTGAATAATGAATGAAGCTCCAGCTATTTGGTTATAGTAGTGATGCTGTTTGTAGCGATGTTCCCCGCCACCCTGCGAGCATCACCCCACCTGTCTGTCTCTGTCTCTGCAGGATCGGCTGACAGTCGAAGCCCCGAAGAGACACAAGGTGTCCGTGCACGTCCTGTCCAGAGAGATGGACTCCTGTGAGTATCTTGTATTCATACGTCGGTTTCACAATTTCATTTAGACACTCAGCTGTCAGATTGACCTGTACCTCACTGTGTGTCTGTGTGTGTTGTGTCGTGTCTGTGTGTGGTGGGGTGTGCTGTGTGTGTGTGTGTACCAGGTCCGATAGTTGGAGAGTTCCCCGCTCAGAACGATGTCAACCTGGCCCCAGCTCCTTCCCTGCCACAGGTAATCACCGTCTTCTGTGTTAATGCTTCTGCCCTCCCAGCTGCTGACACACATTCATGTTATTTCAAACTTTCAACTAAACTTCATGCAGCACATTTGTTTTATTCAACAGTAAAGTTTTATACAGAAAGCAAGAGGCAAAATGTCTTTCCTCTGGCCAGAATACTAAGTTAAAAAATATATAAATATATGTTTCAGTACCACAATTTAGTGGGTGGATGTGGCTTACAGACAGTCTGTGTGTGTAGTGATATTCTCTATTTTTCATATCTAATGTTAAAGGAAAAAAACAATGATTTACTTACTAAGGTGTGTGTGTGTCTGGTCTTGGGTGTGTGTGGTGGTGGGTGTGTGGTGTGATGGGTGTGAGCTCCATTATGGTCCAGAAACTATTAAACACATCAGTGAGCCGCTCTGCTGCACTGGATACAGTGAACCCACACACTGTAGTTTATTTTGAGTCGCTCCCACATATGCTGCAAGAAATAGAACCAAGAACCAAATGTGTATTAATCCGCAGCTGAAAATAGTCCCCAACAGATGCTGCACTATTTCCGCCCTATTGGTTAAAATCTACAGTGAGAAGCTGTTTTAGGAAAATAGCCGAGTCTTACATTTTCGACCTTTTTTTGAGTACCACAGACGGGATGGAGAAGTCGGACAGTGTTGAGACGGTTTTGGTCCTTTTTTAAACTGCTGAGGTAGGCAAACGGGACACTGTCTCAGACGGGGACTGGTGTCCTTCAGGATTCCCACACATCCTGGAAAAGCTGGAAATTTGGAGACTTTAGTTTTTCAGTCATAGAAACGCATTTGGAAAATGATTAAAACAACCAGATGTGCTAGAAATAATCTATGTTAACCAGGGTTAACAGTCTAGCTGTTCGCAGCAGACGCAGAGTGGAACAGACGGCCAGCGATCTGTTCGCCGCCAGAACGCACCTGAGACACCTCATCGTTAAAAAAGGAGTTAAAGTCGATGCTCGGCCTCCTGATAAAGTGTGACTGTTAGTGAGGCTGAATTGTGCAGTAATCGTTGTTTTCACATTTTGCTGAAGTTAAATTTCCCCCTTTGAGAAGAATCTGTTGATGCTGAAGGAACATTTTGCAGCGGCCGTTGATACACGAGCATTATAAGCTCTTCTCAGTTAAAGTACTAACTGCAGGTTACCTTAACTAGTTGCCATGGAAACAATGTTGCGCCAGATGCACTTTAAGGAGGCTTTGTCCTCCAGGGAGCAGACGGGGGCCGCGCCGTGCGATCAGTGGGGATCTCTGACTGTGTCTTTATGTTGCAGCCCACGTTGGTTCAGGACATGACGGAGTTCAAGAGGAGCCTGCCGCTCTTCCCCCTGGTCAAGCCTCACATCAACTTCATGGCGGCCAAACTGTGAGCGAGGCCAGCAGGTGGACACGCAGCAGCATGGGGGCCCGCCAGGATGGGGGGGGGGTTGGAGGGCGACCGCGAGGGACCCCCACCCACCCTGCCAGGAAGACTTTCATCTGTCCGAGCCTGCGTTAGCGTGCGTGTGTGTTTGCGCGGGTGCATGTGAATGCGTGTGTGTGTGTGTGCACGTGTGGCAGGCTGGAGCCACTAGAAGAGATGCTTGGAAACAAATGCGTGTATTTGAATCACAAAAAGTTAGCCGTGGTTGTCGACGTAGCTGTGATGACGATTAGAGGTCGCACCAGACTCACCTCATGGTATTAAAGTCTCTGAAGGGAGACGCAGCACTCACGCATCACAGTCCTGTGGCTGTTGTAGAGGAAGTAGAAACAACGTAAAGAAATACAAAAAAAAAAGACAAGGGCCAGATCCCTTTTAAGATGAGTTTAAGTATACTGCAGAAGCTTCACAGTAGGAGGCGTTTTATTTGAATAATTCAGAGAATGCTGCTTTGAGAATGGATAGCTGGTTTATTGGGAAGAACTCGGAGCTGCAGAGGTTAAAGACGGTAGCTCCACCAAGGTCTTCTTCTTCCTCCTTTTAATTTGTTGGACTGGTATGTTTGCCATGTAACTCTCGGAGGCACCAACAACGCTCCTGAAAACGTTATCACAAAACGCACTCGGTCCAATGGAATATTTTATTCAAATTCATGCGTTTCTGAAGAATATCTGCACTCGTGGTTTTAATCCTCGCAGGTTCTGAAATGTCTTTTGCTTGTAAACTGGTAAAATGTTGGGACCCTTTGAGGAGCTGTTTGAAATTGCTAATCACAGAGAACCATGCCCATGAAAATTGTTTTTATTTTCATTTTTTTTTATGACATTTTACAGTAGTATGTAATTCAGACATCTCAGGGGAACCTCCATGCTGTTTTTTTACATTCAATTTTAGTAGTGGTTGATTAAAAATAAAAACACTTTTATCAGTCTGTCATCTACATCAGTACTTTGTTCACAAATCCTTTTTGGTCTGCGAGTTACTTTTGTAAAACTGAGGAACCAACGTCTGTAGAGACAAACAGAGTTTATATTTCCCATGTCGTCATTAATCTTACGCTCTGTGTCTGAGACTTGCAGAGACTTTCTGCAGCTTGTGCCTTTCCGGGGGGGGGCATCAGTTACTTTGTGTCTGGCTGCACTGAGCTGCTCCTGGTCTGATCCCAGGGCAGAATCCTGGAGGATCTAACCCCTCGAAATTGCTGGACTGTGCACTGGCTCTTACAGCAAGCATAGATGTCAAAAAAATACAAATAAAAAGCAGCTAGCCTTTTTTTTTTTTTTCTCTCTCTGAAAAAGAAACATTTCAAGTTGTCTAAAGGGGGGGGTTGAAGAAAAGCTCCAGTCTGGATTTATTTCAGAATATATGCACTTCTCTCACTAAGCAATAAACCTAATGATGTGGACAGGGAGGCAGCCTGATGTGGCCCCAGCAGCTGGATCCACACTGATCCCGAGCTCCAGCCTAAACCGCGGTGGGGGGTCGGGGGGGGACTGTGAGGTGGATAGTGATGTCAGTGCCGTGCAAGCGTGACCTGCTCTCTCAGGTGCTAACCAGCTTTGCTGTGACAACCCGCTGCAGGTGGAGCTGCCAGCCACTCTGTTCAAAGAGCCCCAAACAAATCAGCTATGATTTATCCCCCCCCCCCCCC